TTAGATGAGTGATACTCTGTAGTTCGAGGTCAAATTTTACTGATGGATCCCCTGTCTCCTCTGAATAAGGTCTTTGCACTGATCTTACAAGATGAAAGGCAAAAGGAAGTGACTACGAAGAAGCCACAGAGTTTTGAAGTATCTGCGTTTGTAAATAATGTTGCTCAAGGATATAGTGGAGGTCAGAGAAATGTTCAATTTATTCAAAATCAAAGGAAGGATAGGCCTATTTGCAGCTTCTGCTGAGCATATAAAGGCAAAGTGCTTCAAAATAGTAGGATATCTTCCCCTGGACATAGATTTGCTATAGGTAAATCTGTGATGGCTAATGCTGTTGGGAAATTGTCTACTGATGGTGATAAAATTGGAGTTATAAATTCCTTGTCTAGTTTAACCATTACTCCTGATCAATGCAAGCAAGTTCTGGCAATGCTAATACCTCAGCTCCAAGGATAGGCAACTAATGGTTCTCGAATACAAGAGCAATCAAAAACTCAAGACGAACTTAGCAATAGTTATTCTGCATTAGATGCCTTCGCATTCACATGTAACTATGCTTGTTCTCGCACCAAAATTGGTGTTGTTAAGTGGATCATGGACACCGGTGCTTCAGAACATATGGTGTGTTCCACTAGGCACTTGACTTCAGTGTCTCACAAGAATAAGGTAGCAGTTAGATTGCCTAATGGTAACAGGGTTGAGGCTACTCATATTGTGACTGTGAAGTTGTCTGATTCCTTAGTTCTGTCTGATATATTAGTGGTGCCTTGTTTCAAGTTTAATCTGATTTTAGCAAGTAAATTGACTTTGAAACATAATTGCTTTCTGATTTTTTTGCATCAATTTTGTTTTGTGCAGGATCTTTCAACATGGAGGACGATTGGAATGGGCAAACTTGAAGATGGACTGTATGTGTTCCAACAGCCCGTCCAGCCATTCAGTTCTGATTTTTGTCACACATACACTTCTAAAAATGGCTTTCCTATTTCCCTTAATTCCAATTGCAATTCTGTTTACTGCTTACATTGTAATAAAGCAAGATA